TTGATCTCCAATGTATGAAAGGCTACGGCCATCTCCAATGTATGAAAGGCTACGACCATTTACACCTCCCATATCTGAAAGGCTACGACCATTTACATCTCCAATGTATGAAAGGCTACGGCCATTTACACCTCCCATATATCAAGTATTTCCACTTCTGAAAGGCGTCTCCCGAGTCGTACTCTTTTTCCCTTACCCTTGTTTTGTCCCAATTGGGTTTTCTCGGGGAGGTTTTTAACGAGGCGACAGAGGGGACACCTGGAGATATTTGAGAAACAAGTTTATCATATCAACCTCTCCCTACGACCTCCAGGCCGACATGATAAAGGGACTGGACTAGCTTGATCTCCAATGTATGAAAGGCTACGGCCATCTCCAATGTATGAAAGGCTACGGCCATTTACACCTCCCATATATGAAAGGCTACGGCCATTTACATCTCCAATGTATGAAAGGCTACGGCCATTTACACCTCCCATATATGAAAGGCTACGGCCATTTACATCTCCAATGTATGAAAGGCTACGGCCATTTACACCTCCCATATATGAAAGGCTACGGCCATTTACGTCTCCAATGTATGAAAGGCTACGGCCATTTACGTCTCCAATGAATGAAAAGCTAATGCCATCGCCGCCAACAGTCGACGTAGATTCGACTAAGGTGAGTAAACGACTCGACGACAGTCGAAGTCGCCCACATGGCTAAGGCCATCAATTATATTATGGCTAAGGCCATCGCCGCCAACAGTCGACGTAAATTCGACTAAGGTGAGTAAACGACCCGACGACAGTTGAAGTCGCCCACATGGCTAAGGCCATCAATTATATTATGGCTAAGGCCATCGCCGCCAACAGTCGACGTAGATTCGACTAAGGTGAGTAAACGACTCGACGACAGTCGAAGTCGCCCACATGGCTAAGGCCATCAATTATATTATGGCTAAGGCCATCGCCGCCAACAGTCGACGTAAATTCGACTAAGGTGAGTAAACGACCCGAGGACAGTCGAAGTCGCCCGCATGGCTAAGGCTATCAATTACGTTATGGCTAAGGCCATCGCCGCCAACAGTCGACCTAAATCCGACTAAGGTGAGTAACGACTCGACGATAGACGAAGTTACGCACACGGCTAAAACCATCAACAAAGCTAAGGCCGAAAATAAAAGATACAGAGAAAAAAAAACAGCAAAAGTATAACTTCCATTATCATCCAAAAATGCATGTACAAAAAAGGACCCATTTACATTTCCAAGTACACCAAAACAATATAAATACAAGCCCTAAGGGGCCTCGCCATCCCGATCAACGCCTTCCGACGGATCGCCATCTCGTCCGCCGCTGTCCTCTGCCTGATAGGCCGCAGAGATCCAAGAGCCCGATTCTAGTCGGTTGACATCTTCGGAGTTGTAGCCCGCCCGATCTGGGAAATCGGAACTATACCCACAAGCTTCACGAGCGACACGGACTATGCGCCGTTGCTCTTGAACCTCTGCTTTGGTAGCTCGACCCGCAGCTAAGAACTCCTCGAAGACGACCAATCTGGCCTCGGCGTATACCCACATATCATGCGCCTCACGATGCGCATCCCCATCGGGCCTTGACGCAGCAGTACGCTTGAGGACTTCAATCTCAGCCACCTTGGCACCAAGTTCGAAGGTCAGAGCGGCAACCTTAACCCGCAAATCAGCAGCTTCCGCCGCTACCCCCCGGCCCACCTCCAACTCTTCTTCTTTAGACTGGAGAAGAGTCTCCAGCTCAATATCCGGGCCAGGGCAGCCATCAGCTGCTCATCAATCTGCTCTAACTCGGCCACCCTCCTTCTCAGCTGGGCCTCCGACTCCTCCAAACCCTCGCGAAAAACCNGGATCTACCTACCGCCATCCCAACACGGGCCGGACCCCGCGTTGATGCTTCTGCATCTGCCTGGGCGACCTCAGGGCCCGCCCTCTCGGCACCATCATCCGCCCCTCCAACGGCAGCCGACGAGCCGATTTCCAGAATACGTGTCGGCCTGGCGTCAGGAACAGCCCCCCTTTGGGGAGCCGACCTCCCGGAACGGATGGCATCCGCCATAAAAACAGACCTCGACTCCCGACGAGGCTCACTCGCCCCCTCATCTACCGTGGCTACCCCCTTGCCGGTTATCAACCGACGTCTCTTTCTTTCCGGCGTCTCCTCACTATTAGAGGACCCCTCCACAGCCCGAGGGGATGGCATCGAAGGAGTCGCTCCCCTCGCGGACGCCGCCACAGGCAGCGGTTGAGGAACCTCCGTGGCATCATCACTGGGCGAACCGCAGGGTATGTATCCACCTTCAGAATCGGTCCTCGCCCCAGGTAGGATGACGACTCTCTTTTTCTTCTTCTTAGGGCGCTCCGACCTGCCAAACACAAACAAGTCGGGTAACGAACACGTAAGGAATCCCCGAACCGTAGCCAAAGAATTACCTGACGGGCCGTACTGTCGAAGAAAGGCAGCCCAGGTACGGCACTCCTCCGCATAGGGTATTATTCTTCCCACCCACGATTTAATGTCATCAACGAGCTGGGGTGGAGAAGCCCTCGCTGCGAATAAAAAAGAGAAGAAAGAAAAACAAAGGTCACAATGGCCGTATGGTCGAAAGCGCAAGCGGCACTGAAATTTACAAATAGAAATACTTACGTTCTGGATTCCATTTTTCCGGGAAACCCTCGGGATTCGACACCAGGTGCTCCGTCCTGATGTAGAAATATTTACGCCAAAAACGGCGGTTGGGCTTATCATCGGCTTGAACGACCAAGCCCTTTGCGCCACGACCTTTCAACTGCAGCATGGTACCCCTCAGATAACCAGCTAAGAGGTGGTGGACTGAGACGCTGCACCCAGCCCTGGCCGCATAGGTGGTCATGATACGGCACACCTTCAAAGTATAAGGGGTAAGGTGGGCCGGACACACATTGTAAAAACGGCAAAGCTCCTCCGCCAGAGTATAGACTGGAAGGTCGTAACCGATCAAGAACGGGTACTCGTAGAAGGCGCAATATCCAGGCCGGTGCACATTGGCATAATCCGTCCCGGCCTGAATCATGTCCACGTGGTCCGGAATACGGTGCGTCTCTCGCAGCTCGCGTAAATGGGATTGTAGCAAAACGCTGTGCTCCCAGGGAAGATCAGGGCTTTTAGTCGGAAAATCCCTGCGAACGTGCATCTCCTTCGGAAGGACATTGTCTACGCTGAGAGGAACAAGGGCCTTCTCCGCCTTTTCCCCTTCACCACTAGAAGATGGCGGAACCCTAGATGGGGTATTATCCTTAGCCTTTTTATTATTTTGTCCGCGTTTTGCCATGATTATACTACTTGAGAAACGAAGCACTAACAATAGGAAATGTGGTTTCAACAGAAGTGGGAAAGTCCCTCACGAAATAACGGTTACAGGAAAGAAAGGCAAAAGGGTGTATCAGAAAATACTTTTCAGAGGCTTGAAAGTGGAATCAGATCAAACCTTTCTCATACTTATAAGGATAAACTGCACAGGAATCGAAGAGTCATGATTCAAAACGTGCGCCGGAAACCAAAACGTCACTTCATCCTCTGAACCGCCTCAGGGGCAAAATATAATGATGATGCATACAGGCGATGACATCATTCCAAAAAGGAAGCCACGCGTCAGCGGCTCAACAGCGTCATATGTTTCACTTCGTTCATATTTCCGCCCCCGGTCGAGGTCAAATTCTCCTAAGACGAGGTTCGCATTTCCACCCGCCGAAGACGCCCACCAAACGTATCTCCAACGAGCGGAGGGACTAACTGTATAGGGTCAAATTTGACCCTCAGTATCTCTACGCCAGTGGGTACGCCCAATGAGTGTACGCCGACCAACGTAGTGGGTACGACTCGGCCGTGAGGACCAAAGCGACGTCGTTTAGGACTCAGTGTCTATACTAGGGAGACGTTACCTATCTCTGTAACTTTTTTATTCTTTCGAGGAAGGTCTCCTATTATATAAAGGAGACCTTTACCTTGTAAAAGGGGGCATCTGATTTAATACAACTCTCTCATTTTCTCTCTCTCTCTCTCTCTCTATATATATATATATATATATCACTACTTCTGACGAAAATACCTTATTAACATACATTGTCGCTTTGCAATATTAGATCTACAACAATATTATCATCTTTGCATCTCTAGGCTTATTATATTTGATTACGATTTACCCCTTCTCTATTTTTTGATTGTTTTATCGCTTACAAAGTACATCGTTAACTTTTGAGCCAAACACGCTATATTTTTAATTTTCAATATGTAATTTTTAAAAAGACGATTTAGGTTATATATACATATAGTATAAGTAAATTGTATCAATTGAACATGTAATAACATTATTAGTTACTCACTCTGTTCCAATTTATGTGAACCCGTTTGACTGGGCACGGAGTTTAAGAAAAATGAATACTTTTTGAATTTGTGGTCCTAAACAAGTTAAAAAGGGGTCCAGAATATTTGTGTGGTTATAAAAGCTTCTCATTAAGGGTAGAGTTAAAAGTTTAAACTAAATTATTTTCAAATTTAGAAATGGGTCAATCTTTTTGGAACGGACCAAAAAGGAAATAAGTTCACATAAACTGAAACGGAAAGATTATTATTTTAATTATTATCGATTAATGAATGTCATAAGGATATACTACTTAGCTTGTAACTACAAAATGATTATTGTACAAATATTTTTTACATTATTAATGTATAAAATAATAAAATATTGCAAAAATATTTTTATAGGAGTGTAATTACTTCTTTTGTAATTATTATGTGTCATCAGTTGTATACTCACTCCCTTGACGTTTATGTGGTAATATTTCTTTTTAATTATCTTTCTAAATTTAAAAATAATTTAGTTCATTTTCTTATTAATATAATGAGAAACTTTTATTATCTCAAAAATATAATGAAATGTTTAAAGTTACAAATTTCAAAAGTCTCGTACCAAACAAATGTTATGAGGTGTTATTACTATAAATTTCATAAGTCTTTCTTTTATCTCTCTAATTCTCTCTCTATAGGCATTTGTATATATACTAGTATCACCAGTTTTACTTGTAAAGACTCCATCCTCATCTGATCTCCTTTCAAGAAGAAGAGAAGTAGAAATAATAAAAATGCCTTGTTCACTCCAGCTAAAACGGATCAACCCTACAACCGCCACCCCCGCCGCCACACTCGCCGTAAATTTCCACAAACATCCTCAGCCCACGTGGGTTATCCCCGTTCCCATCTCTAATATCCCCAAATATCTCCTACATTACCACACTCACGTTGTAGATCCCAACCAGTGCTGCTCCGCCGTAGTGAAATCCATCTCCGCCCCGATTGACGCCGTGTGGTCCCTAGTCCGCCGTTTCGACAACCCGCAAGCGTACAAGCATTTCCTCAAGAGCTGCCACGTCATCGGCGGCGATGGAAACGTCGGCACGTTGAGGGAAGTTCGCGTAATTTCCGGCCTTCCCGCCGCTTCTAGTATGGAGAGGCTGGAGATTTTAGACGATGAGAAGCACGTCATCAGTTTCAGCGTAGTCGGCGGCGATCATAGGTTGAATAATTACCGGTCGGTGACTACTTTGCACCCATCGTCAACGGTTGCGGATGATAACAGGACGGTGGTGGTGGAATCGTACGTGGTGGATATTCCACAAGGGAATACTGAGGAAGAAACGTGTGTATTTGTAGATACAATTGTACGTTGCAATTTGCAATCGCTAGCGCAGATCGCAGAGAACATGGCTACAAGCAAAAGTAAATCAAAATGACTAATTAATCCCCTTAGAATTTGTATATTTCATTTAGTCCCCCAGATTTCTTTTTTAAGTTTTTTGTTGTACAATTTTATTATTTTTAATTTTGGGATGTTAGTTAGAGTTGTCAATGTTGTAAATCATGAAGACCGAGAATGAATGTTTCATAGATTGATAGATATTTAAGCTTTTGTTTGCTTAGGAGGTTTTAACTTAAGTTGCCTTCATAGTTAATAGCGTTGGTGCTTTTGTAGCCCGTATACACCGTTACAGTACTCTTGCAGCGGTGAAAATTTCCAAATGTAACTATATTAAATTTTTTCATTCATAATGATATATCCTGAGAGGGGTGTATTATTTTTTAAGAATGCAATGCCTATATATATAGATTGACGGCACAATTTAGCTACTCTCCGGTCCACCATAAGTGATCAATTTGCCCTTTTATTTTTATCCAAAATAATAAGGTCCATTTATATAATTAAGAAACAATCAAGTTGTTTTTTCAAAATTACCCTTATGTACGTATCCTTAAAAAGTCTTTTACTACTCACATTAAATTATGCTGCAACATTTAATTAAGGGTAGTTTAGTCACACTAATTATTTTTGTCTAGAATTTAGTACTTCCTTAATTGGTGTGCCCAAGACAAATTAATCACTTATTGTCGATCGGAGGGAGTAACATTTTTGAGCAGTGTGTATATATAAGTTGAGCTCCATTTTTTTCTTAATATTAGATAGAGCGAAGCCAGAGGATATTTTATAGGCTACATTAGAAATCGTATCTTCTTTGCTAGTGCTAAAGTTTCAAGCTTTTAATTAGCTTATGAATTTGACCGTGGAATGGCCGAATTAAGGAAAAACGCGGGAACTAGTTCAGTTTTGATAGTAGAAAGTAAAAACCATGAAAAACTGAATTGCTGTCGTGAAGAGCTCTAATTTGCAAAAATCAAGGAGGATATACTACGTATGCGGTATACTACTGATCTTCTCTATTTTCTTGTTAGGGTTTTGGAGGATAAAACAATTACACTATAATCAGGGGCCGACGCAGCCCTATAGAAACTCGAATTGAACTCATAACTTTTGATGCAGAGTATTTATTTATGTGTAAAATTCATTGAAATCGCAATAATTGTCAATATGAACTCATAACTTTAAGTATATAATGAGTTCAATACTAAGAATCCTACAGTTTGAACCCGTAAAATTTAAATCCTTGATGCGCCTCTGACTATAATGTTATTTTGCTCTCATGTACTGATCATACATTGCTGAAGAAGCAAAACATATACTTATATATTATAGTGTAGTTGTTTTATCTCCATAACTCTAACAAGAAAATAAAGAAGATCAGTAATCGTATACATATCCTCCTTGGCGGCAACTACGGCTTGGAAACCTCTACAACTTGTAGATTAATATATCATTAGGCTTAATTTGTTAAATATCACAATGCACGAATGTCCATTATTTAATTTTCATATGGTCTAATTAATTTTTCCAACTAAACATGGTTGTAAAAGGCCTCACCAGTTGTAAGCTTAAGGGAATAACATTGTTTATAATTTATCTAGTACTGTTTGCATTTCTTTGTGATAAAATTGCTAGTCACTGAATACGTACTGAACCTGTTGGTGAGATGGGAACTGGCTTTTCTTGATTTTATTAATATACTCCCTCCATTCACTTTTACTTGGCATGTATACTAAAAATAGATTTTCATTTTAATTGTCACTTTACGCATATCAAGAGAATGACAAACTTTTTTTTCCTGTTATACCTATCGTATTTATTACTCATTTCAAATTATTTTCTCAAATCCAATAAAATATGCATCAATTAATATGGGTATCATGGTAAATTATGCATTTCATTTATTATTTCTTAAGAAGCGTGAAAAGTCAAAAGGTGCCAAGTAAAAGTGAACGGAAGGAGTAATTCTCTAAAGAGTATAAATTCCGTCCGTGCACTAAGAGTATCATATTTTATTTCCATCCGGTTAAGTTACATGTTATAGTTTATAGCAAGCCTCATCTGACAATTTGTAAAAGTATGTAATAACATGTAGAAGTACATTGACAGAGTAAAAATCTTTACATTATCCTGTATATAGGGTGTGTTTGGTATAACGAAAAATGTTTTCCGTGGAAAATGTTTTTCAAGAAAATATTTTCTTGAAAAACAAGTAGTAATCTTATTCATTTTCCGGTGTTCACGCAAATTAAGGAAAATGACTTCTCAAGAGTATTCATAAATAATTTGAATATAATAAACATGAAGCCATAAACTTTCAAACTAACAACTTTCCGAACCCACAAATTTCATAAACTTTCGAACCGCTAAACTTTCGAGCGCGGAATTTTTAACCCGTAAACTTTATAATTTCTAAACCTGTAAACTTCCAAACACATAAACCCCCGAACTCATAACTTTGGAACTTGTAAAATTTTGAACCTTTAAACCGATAAATAAAAAAACTAAAACTGAAAAATATATTTAATTTTTTTTTGGGGAGGAGGGGGGGGGGGGGAAGGGGCGAGTGTGGGGGGGGGGGAGGGGCGAAAAAAGAAAAAACAGAAATTTAAAATTACAAAAAAATTTTTTTTTGTGCGGGGTGGGGGTGGGTGGTGCAGAAAAACGAAAAAATAGAAATTTGAAATTGCAAAAAAAAAAAAGGTAAAAGAAAAAGTTTTTTTGCGGGAGGGGGTGGTGGTGGGGTAGAGGGATAATAGGGTGGGTGGTAACAGAAAAATTGAAATTTAAAAAAAAAAAGTCTTTTTTGAAGAGAGGGGTGAGGTGGGGAAAGTTGAGAGGGAGTTTTGAAAGAGAAATGAAAACATTTTCCTCCCAAATGAGTTGATAAGGAAATATTTTCCAAAACATTTAAGCCAACCAAACATGAAAATATTGGAAAACATTTTCCTATACCAAACACACCCATAATTTAGATCTATTTTCTGGTAGGAAATTATATATTGGGGATCTTCTGTAGTAGGGATGATCGCACATGTGCTAGTTCAACTGCTGCATAATTGACCGGAGAAAATAAAAAAGGAACAAACACAACATGAATTTTTATATTGAAAAAGCTAGTCATTGTATGAGAAGAATCAACATTTGCTCCCTCTAACCAACTTGACGTTCAAACAAAAGGCAAGTGGTGTCTTTATTTACTTTAAAAACCTTTTCTTTTGGTTCTCCATAGATTTATATTGTGTTCGAGCAAGCAGAGAAGATGACAACTTTGCAAGTTGGTTTGCAAGTGGGCAAGGAGGCTTTTACTGAATGTCCTTTTTGTTTTCCTAATTATATTACTTATAACAATTCTCAAGGATTCTATAGATTGTCCGTACAGTCCATCTTTCATATACTAAAGACTATAGGTCATAAGTCACTTCAACCTTTTCCCTAGGTATATATACTGTTTGCCCTTAAAATAGATAACAATTGAATTTGTACGCGATTTTAAGAATATGTGGACTAATTTAATACAAGTGATCAATAACATTGTATAAGCAAATTAAAGACAAAATAAATAGGCAAACTAGTCGTAGTATTGAGTTCGGGCTCGGTTGTGAGCTTAACAATTAATCTGCTTTCGATTCGGAGCCGAAATATATATGCAAAGCTTGAATAAAAATAAGAACCTTTGAATAGCTTATAAGCAAAGAAAATAAATGAATATTGCCTTGATATGCCTGTTACAGTGTATCTATTGAACAATAAACTTCACCTTTATATAGTAGGGGAGTTTTACCCTACGTACAACTCTAAGAAAGGTAAAAATCTTCTTTTTCGTTAATCACTGATCCGTTGTTGATACAGGTCGAGATCCACGCCATGATATCCAGTTGGGCGCGGATATCACGGCACTTCGTTAGTCGTGTGCAACCGTTTGGTTATGCTTCTGTGGTCTTAGAGCCCAAACCTAATTCGTGGGGCACTGTCTCGATGGCCCCAGTGATAAGTGCTTCGCTCGGACCTTAGTGCGAGAGGTTCCTGGCTTCGCTTCTGATTTCGAGTAGTTATGTCCTTGCTTCGTTTGCCCCACCGGGAAATCGGGGTGCTCACTAGCGCCCGTTTTGCCCATATACACATACAATTCCAATCTCATTGCTCACCTCTGTCTAATCCTGTCCTATTGATTTTTCGTTTTTGTAAGCAAAGAAAATTAATCTTAGGGCGGAAACCTATGGTTTAAATTTAGCATTTGGGCAACACTAGGACTTGAGAGTCAGTTTTGATTTTTGATGGAATAAAAATCAACACTAGGACTTCCAGGAACATTTGGAACAATCCGTTTTAGACCGGAAGTGTTGTTTTCAAATAGTTCGCCTAGATGCCTAGTAAAGAAAAAGCTGGAGATAATAAAAAAGCATTTCCACACAAAAAGACAGGCGACTGAAAGCTTTGCTTCTAATGCAGACCACATGGGAACAACACACCGGCATAGAAGAATTCAAATTCGCTGGCCCAGATGAGTGGCTCTTGGCTTCGTAAGCATATCTATGTTGTTGCTTTTTCACTGCTAATGAGTATTCTTGATCAACAAGGAGATCAAAATGAGCGAGTTCTCATCTCTATACTTAAGTCTGACTTCGATAACCATCTTCCGTCTGTGCAAGGTGGATTTGGTTTCGGTAATTCACCACTACTAGGTACAACGACCTATTAGATCGTGTCTTTAGACTTCGTGATGCAATCATATCCCATCTCAAGTGTGCATGTATATTTTTAGGCTTTCAAAGCTCTGCTTTATATATTCATAATGATACCATGAGTGCTTTAGGGCATCCTCAAGATATGTTTTCAAATACCACTATACAATTACAAACTGTTTTTGTTCGATAGATATAAAACACCCATGCTTTAGCACCTATTGCATTTTATTTTTTCCTTAAGGAAAAATGTACCCCCCCCCCCCCCCCATAATAGTGAACCTCTCCCCGTGATTAGGATAAGGTAGATGCCTCCTAGCCAGGGGGCAGATCGAATTGAAGTTTCCTTAGATGGCCACTGACCTACAGTTACCCTTAGACTTTCGTGTTTGGTGGAGAAGAAACGAACAAAAATATGCTCGCTTGCTATCTTGTTCTTTGTCGCAAAGTGGGATCACTCGCCAGCTAGGTCAGATTGGAGCAAGATTTTATGAGAATATATTTCCCATATCCAGGGAAAGGGGCGGAACAGCCTCTCGATCTACTTACTCCAGCCCAGGAATAAAAATATCGTCTAGGAGTTCCCTGTTGCTCATATCTCCCCTATGCCTAGACATTATCTTGGGCAAGAGCCATAGTTAGTTGTTGTTTCTTCCTCGTTGGTTGCTAGCAACAACATAATGGAAGCAGTCGCT